TGCTATAATGTAGCAGGTATTCAGGAAAGATTGTTAATATATTAAATAACTTTCCTAGGGATGTCATATCTTTTGCTGCTATTTTAAATATTATTTATAAACATTAAGTTTTCTTATATGTTTTCTACTTATATCTAGGAATGTGACTCATATTTGATGGTTATCGTTGTACAATGGACATTTTGGAAATGTTCTGAGTCCCATACTTAGTTAAAGATTTGGTTGTGCTTTTACACAGAAAACCCACTTGAGAAGAATACTCAGGTTTTCTTTTCTTTCCTCCTAATCTTTATTTCTAGCATCTCTTTTTCTTGCTTTTCTAACTCTCAGTACAATGTTTCTAGAAGTTGTAATGGCAAGTGTCTAGTCTTGTTTTTGTCATTACAGAAATGCTGTCCTTGTTTTATGTGATACAGTAATTGCTAAAAGTATTTTGGTCAGTTCAATGTAGTTTCTTTTAATTTCAGGTTTTCTAACAATTACTTGTGTATTGTGAATGAATATTCTACTCTATGATGTTATTTTGTTGAGATGCAGCACAAAATTGTTTCCCTTTGATATTTTAATATGGCACATTGTATATTGAATTTGCTAATTCAGCCCAGTTTTCATTGCTAGGAAAAATCAATCCTAGTCATGCTATTATTATATTTTCTACACTTTGCTCACTTGATTTGCTATTGATTTAAGACAGAATGAGATTGCCCTGTACTTTCCCTTTTCACACAATTCCTGTCAGGTTTTGAAATCAAGTTGATAATACTCTCATGAAATAAGGTGAGAGTAAATCTTTATTTATTTATCTATTAAAGATTTATTTATTTATGCATACAGAACTGAGGTACAGGCCAGAGGCCCAGGGGCCATTAGAGGATTCACCAGAGGCAGGGTGGGGAGCAGGACAGGCAGATCAACAAAGTACACTGCTGAGGGGAGCTGCAGGCATGTCAGGAGAGATCTGCCACCCATGTGGATTACCTCCGGGGCTGGGGACCAAACTCCCATTGAAGTGGCTGCGCTTTCACCCATTGTGCTACCAAGGAGAGCCCAAAAGTAGCTACTAAACAGGGTCCAGGAGTAAATCTTTAAGCTGTATTTCCAGTGTCGGTAAATCTCAGTATAAATACCATCTTGGTCTGAAATTTTATTGTGTGAACTTTTAAAACTTTATTGACTATTATGTTATTCAGGCTTTATATTTCTTCTTGAGTAGGTCATTTCTTAGAAATTTCAGTTTCCTAAGCTTTCAAATTATTGCTATGAAGTAGTTCACAGCATCATTTTATTAATATCTTCATATCTGTGGCATCTATACCTTAGTATCCTTTTATTCTTACCTAGAATTGTTTGCAATCCCTCTCTCTATATCTCAAACCTAAGTTTGTCAAATTTATGCCCTTCCAAAGAACCAATTTTGTACTTTTTTTAGATTTACTATTGTAGATTTGTTTCCTATTTTATTAACTTCTGATATTATAAATATAATATTTATAAATATTATAAATTTTATCCCCATTTATTTGACGTACTTTTCCCTCATCTCTTAAAGTTAATGCTTGACTGAATTTTTTTTAAAGATTTATTTATGATGTAAGAACGGGGGGATAAGCCAGAGGTGCAGGGGTGTGAGAGGATTCACCAGAGTGATGAGTAGAACAGACAGATCAACCGAAATATACTGCTGAGGGGAGCAGCAGAGGAGACAGGAGAGGTCTGCTGTGCCATGTGGGGCAGTTCCCTGGCTGGGGAACAGACTCAATTTGCAGTGATTGGCAATAGCTTGATAGCGCTGTGTCTTTAAACCCTGTGCCACCAGGTAGGTCCTTGACTCAGTTTTCAATCTTTCTTCTTTTATAAGATGAGCATTTCTTAAAAGATTTATTTATTTATGCATACAGAACTGGGATATAGGTCAGAAGCTCAGGGTCAGTGAGAAGATTCACCAGAGACAGAGTGGGGAGCAGAACAAGCAGATCAACGAAGTACACTGCTTAGGGGAGCAGCGGGCAGGTCAGGACAGGTCTGCCAAGCCATGTGAGTCACCTCTAGGGCTTCGGATCAAACTAGTGCTGAAGTAGCTTTAGCTTCTTAGTGCTGTGCTTTAACCCTCTGCACCACCAGGGGTCCATAAGACGAACATTTTAAGGCAATAAATTTTCCATTACACATTGCTATAACTGACACTCACATGGTTTTAATCTAAGGTGATTTCATTACTGCATGCTAAAATACTTGCTATTTTTCATTGTGAGGTTTTCCTTGGCTCATGTATTATTTAAAAATGTGCTATGAAATTTCAAAACAAATGGAACTATCCTGTTTTATCAGAGGGGAACATTTATTCTATCTTAGTTAAATTTAAGTCATAAAAATGTGATCTTTATGATGCCAATCATTTGAAATTTTTTGAGATATGATTTATACCTTAACATGTGGTAAATATTTATAACTGTCCCACAGATACTTAGGAAAAATGCATATCCTGCAGTGTTCTATATGTGTTCATTGAAAAAATAAGGTTTTTATTTTTATTTATTTTTATATCATTAACTGCTTCAACTATAATTTACTGAAATATTTGTATTATAATCATCTTTTAAAGATTTATTTATGTACACAAGAACTGGGGTATAGGTCAAAGGTGCAGTGGGTGAGAGGATTCACCAGAGACAGAATGAGGAGTAGAACAGGCAGATTGACTGAAACACACTGCTAAGGGGAGTAGTGGGTGAGTCAGGAGAGTTCTGCTGTGCCATGTGGGTGACCTCCCTGATCAGAGATCAAAATTGTGCTGCAGTGGCTGTGGAGAACTTCATGGTGCTGTACTTTTGACCCTTGCACCATCTTTTTTTTTTTTTTAATAGTTGAGTAGTATTCCATTGTACAGCATAATATAAAGGATCCCCTGAAGTCCTAATCAGCATGCAAAATGAACATTTCCTGCACAGTTCTACTACAGCACTTAACCAGAGTCCTGGCACAGGCAATTGAATGCAGAATCATCTCATAATGATTCTAGAATCTTCTCTCATCTTCTTGACTCTTAGACCATAGCTACGTGCCCCAGAAACAGTCATTTCAGACACCTATTTTTCTTTTCCCATCTGAGAGCCTACTGTGGCAGTGCGGTAGCATCATGTCGTGGCATGTGGCAACACCCAGACCTTCACAGTGCTGTGCTTTAACTCTTTGAGCCACCAGGGAGGGCCTGTATTAACATCTTAACTAGAATAGTAAGGCTATTGAATTTTACTGCAATCCCTATAATTATTCCTTTATGTATTTTTGAAATACATAGAACCTGGAAATTTTTTAATCTTCCAAGTAAGTTTGACCTCTTATTCTAAAACAGTGACTAATAATAATTTGCCTCGTAACATGGGAATCACCAGTTCCCAAAATCAGTCGCATGATATTGTGTCCAGTTTATGAGGGACGAAACTTTTTTCTCACTCTTATCCTGATCATTTGTGGGGCTCTGACAGGCCTCCTACATTGCATGATTTTAGGATACTTTGGAAGTTCTACTACTTCAGTAGTACACTTCATATGAACAGTAGTAAAATTGCCACAAATCTAACATTTCCTCCCAGCTGTTAAATAAATATTTCATTTTCCCAAGTGATAGGAATCAATGTTTTTACTGTTTTTTTTTTT